GTTATTCCTCTCGCCAAGGTGGAGTACCAGCAGCGCTGTAGCCGTGGATTCAGAGCGCTCTACGTGCCTTGCCAGTGTGGACGGGGAGTGAGCTAGGGCGCCCGGGGCTCCTTTATTGCACTGTAACTCGCAAGTGTGGCCAAGCCCTTACAGGAATAAGAATAGCATCTGCAGTTACATTAGCTAGAAAGTGACAAGGGCTCTCAGTCTTCATAGGTTCAGAGCATTATCTCATCACCAGCTGTGATCAGAGAGAGAGAGAGAGAGAGATTCACCCCAGTATCAAGTTAGCTAGGAGCCTGGGTGGAAGGGGGCGATTATCGTGCATTGAAACATCCATAGCACACTGCTGGAGACAACCTATCTGAATAAATGGGCCATTGGTCTGACAATTCTTATATTTCCTCACCTTTTTTCGTTGCTCCTTCTGTCTTTCTCTGAAATCCTCTATTCCTTTCAATTCATCCTTCAGCATCAATGCCAGTTGGATATGAGAGTTTCCAACATTTTCAATTTCTAAGGCAGATGAGAATTTATAGACAGTCAATGAAAAGGCCTCTAATAAATACAAAGTCAGGTTTTTCAGCATGTATTTACTGGGAGGTGGCATGAATGTATTACTTACATGCACCTGGCAGTCTCAGAAACTTAAGGAGGGCTTTTTTTATTCAGATCGTTGTATTATCTCATCAATTAATGGAGGATAGGACTCATCACAATCCCCTTGATGCCTGCAACATACATGGGGCCAGAACTGCTGCTGTTTGTGACACTTGCCAGGAGAATGTAAATAGAAATACTTTTAGCTGGCCCCCTTTCACTTCTTCATATTCCCACCACGCACTTCCAATCTTTCCCCTTTCTTTTTAAGGGCTCTCGCTCTTCCCCCTCCATGTCTCCCTATTGACCCCAGGTTTTTTATCCACATTGTGATCACCTTCCCACCCATCACACTGCTTGACATCAGTCTCTCTTGTTAGCCACTTCCCAATTACAGTCAGGCTTGTCCCAGCACTATCATCCAATTAGGGGGGCTGAAAATGGGCAGGGTTCAGTAGAGATGGAAATATCTTACTCTTGAAATTAAATTTTAAAATGTCTGGCCAAGATTTTCAAAAATACTTAGTGATTTTAGGGTGCCCAACTTTGAGATGTCTTGAAAAGGGCCTGTTTGTCAGAAAGTGCTGAGCACCCACCTTTCTGAAAATCAGGCCCCTTCAAACCAGGAGTGACCTTAAATCTCTAGCCACATTTGAAAATCTTGGCCTCTTTATCTAAACTGTAGGCAGTGTGTGCAACTGCACCACCTCATTGTATACTAGGTAATTATACTATTATGTCTTAGGGGTGTAAAAACTTTAGCATTTAGCCCTTGGTGCACAAGAGAGTGCATATTCCGCTGTCTTGATGAGCCTGGGGCTTAGATGAGGGTTAGTCGTCTGTGCCCAAACCAGGTAAGACTGAGCAAGTGTTGGGGAAGCAGCCCAAAAAGTTGGCAAAAATTCCATTATTACCCCTAACTAGGGGGGTGCGGCCACAGTCTGTAGCACAGACGAACAATCTGAGTGTGTTAGACCCTGGAGTGTCTCTGTGTGTCCAGGTTGTGACCATGGCGAAGGGTGCTTTCTGCCGACTGTGCTGGTGAGATGGGTGTGCCTTTGCTTACTGTCATTCATCTGGGGGGATTTGAAGCACCTTACAACTGCGGGGGTGTATGACAGCCCCCATTTTACAGATGAGTGAACTGAGGTATAGAAAACTAAACATCCTGATTGCCGGAGATGCTGCCTTAAATAATTTGTCCAAGGTCACACAGCAAATTAGTCTGCTAGGGGTCACTCATTGGCCAGCTGGTCCTTTCTGATTATGTTTCAGCCATGTGTGGTCAACTCATTGGTGTGGGGTTGGGATCCTGTTTCCAAAAAGAGGAGGAAATCCCTTCCCTTATTAAGGGGTTGGGCTGGGAGGGGAAGCATAGTTCTCAGTGCAGAGACCTGAGGACCTAAACTGGAGATGGTTTTAAGGCTCTTTGGTTTCTTAGGAATTCAGGAGGAAGGGGGGTAGCAAAGGAACTGGGATGGCAGCTTGGCTGTTCCTCTGCTAGTGGATTATAGTGGGTACAGTGCAAGCTGTTGGGGAAAGGGCATTTGGACTAAATGTGGAGCTACCGAGGAGGATTGTGACCCCTGTGAATACCCATCTCTGTATATTGTGGATTAGAATAAAGGGTGTAAATAATGGGCAGTAAAACACTTGGAATAGTAAATCCGTCTTCCTCAGTGATGGCTTGGCCCCAGGACAAATCAGCCATCCATGAAAGAACTCCCACAGGGATGGGAAGGCGGATATAAACTTACGTTGCTTTAGGACCTCGAATGCTGCCTTCAGAGTGCTGAGAAAACAAACACATATTTATTGGTATAATGTCCTAATGACAGACTGTGAATCTAAAAAAAAAATTACACTACCAGACCTTTACCCTCAAAGAAACACAAAAATAAATAAAACCTTTAATAGCCCTATCAAAAAAAATTGACCATGCAAATGGGCGAGAGATTACATTTATAGGTTATCATTAGGCCATGCAATCAAATGCTTCATGAAGCAGGGAATTAAAGACTTCTGCACTCCTGGTGCACTGGACTGTTTAACCCCTTAGTATTCGTTATTACACGTGTTAATATTAACTTGTCTGTACCAATGTCTTGGTGAGAACATGAATACAGGGAAATACAAATGACCAGTATAACTGATATTTGGAATAGTAGTCCAAAAGAGGAGATCTCTGAGGACAGAGATAGGTAAGACCTCTGTAGTCAGAGATCAGTGCTAGTATATCTTGTTTTTAACTCCTTAGTAATCCTCACAGCAGGAGCAATGCATTGGCTGTATAACATTACCTCCCTCCTGCACTTCTGTAGCACCCCCTTGTGGTACTGTCTCCAAATTCTTTAAAGAAACCAAATTAAGACCAATGGTTTTCAGAGCCATACACTCTAGGGGTCTGAAATCATGGACCATACAGTGGCTTTTCACAGTTGCACAGTGCAGTATGAATAAGCTCCACCACCAGCCGGAGCCCTCAGCACCAGGCCATGAAATACAGGTGAGACTAGCAAGACAAAACATTACACTGGTCAATATGAGCAATCAGATGGAGCTGGGTCAAAGTAAGAGGTGGGGCCTTATAATGGTGTTTCACAGGGGGCTGGTAAAGGCAGTAGTCTATTGTCTCTTGTTGTCCTGGGTTGAGTAAATGATAATCAGTCAGGCAGATGAATAGGGAACAAGCTGCAAACGTTTTAATGAAGCAGCAGAAAGAACAGCAAAGAGGTAGAGAAGTAATTCAGAGAGAGTTGCCATAGGCATAGTGGGCACTCCCCACTTCTGTTGCAGAATTGCTGCTCCAATTGCACACAGGTCTGAAGAGCCTGGTCACCAGTGGTTTTACTGGGGGCTGTATTGTGAATTTAGAAGGTAATCTTTCCAGGGCATGGACTGTGTGACCTTCCAAAGGTCTGTACAGGGGCTTGATAAAGAGAGAGCCTGATATGGCCCGTGAGAGGGGAAGAAATATTCAGCCAAGCTTGTGAGTTGAGATACTCAATGGCTAAAAGCATAACGTTTTGCCACTGAGGGAGTGGGGAGGGATGTGTGGCCCTGCCAACCCCTGGGGGACAGAGATCTATGAGGAAATCATGTACATCCTGGGCCACCCTAGGAGGCCAGAGACACACATATGAGAGCCCACATTCTCTGTGGTACTTTGGACGAGGTGCAGGCTCCTGATGGCAGCCTGGCTTCCAAAGAAGTGTTCCTGCAGGCACCTGGCTCAAAACCCACACTTTGTACCCCGTCTGATGCAGCCTCCTGCCCTCTCCAATTCTGATGCTTCCTGTGGGAATTCCGGATGCTTTTCCTTTGGCTGAGACTTGGAGCTGTGTTTAAAAACATTCTAGGCATGGCCTTCACATCAGTTTTAAAGAGAAAGCAAATCCCTGGTTTCTGCTTTGCCGCACTCAGGTTTCATGTTAAAAACCACCACCACCACCACCACACGCAATCTTGGCAGAGCTGGTGCTGAACTAGCCAAGTGGTAGCCCTCATCCTGTCATGTCAGCATCTCCAGTGCATTTAGCATTGACTGCTTCAAACATGTAATCCAGTCCTGGAACAGAGGGGTTGCTATTTTCAGTCCTTGGGTGGACTGTATTTGTTAAGCACCACTTGAAGGTAGCTATCGACATCTGGGCAACAATTAGGTTTGCTTCATCACATAGACCTTCATTCTGCTCTTGTATGGATGCATGCAGCTCTCAATGACTTCAGTAGTGCACAGATCCAAGGGCAGAAACTGGGCCTGCTATTGGAGAATTTCCCTTAATACAATCTGCTTGTGCTACTGGACCTGAGGCTGTCATCTTTAAAGATATGCTGCCTCCCCATTCTTCATGGCACATGCTTAGCCAGAAGGGCAAGAAGTATAGTCTATATACCGTATGCCCTTCCAGAGGGGCCTGTTTAGGGTTTAAATTGGACATAAAGCAGCAAAGAGAAATAGGACCCTTTTTCAGGTCTTGAAGCACCCTTGTGGACTCTTAGGGGAAAAATATAAAGGGAAATGGACACCATCATGCAGGCCCCAAAGAACATCATGAAAACCTTGAGTCTTGATTCAAAATTTGCTAGCACGACTACCTGTAAAATGTGTGAACAAAAAGCCTTTCAGCCAAAAATGATCAATATACATCTTATTTTTATACTGTTTCAGCTTTTTGTGTGTAAACCTACAAAATATTTTCCCTGAAATGAGTTATGAATTACTGGTGGCTCTAAACAAAAAAATCTTTAAAGGCTTGAGTTGGTGCTCTCAAAATCCTCTGCTGTAAAAGCGGGCTCCAAGCCGGCATGCAAAAGCTCGTGACTCTCCTTGGATCACTAGGATATAGCATAAAAGATTGAATGTCTTTTAAAATATGCTCCTTTGTTGTTGTGAAGGTGCCCTTGGATTTAATTTTGTCCCTGTGTTCCCAAATATGTAGAACTTGGCTGGTGTAAACTTTTGATGCAAACTGAAACTTGGAGCGTAAGGGCTCAGAAATGAAGGAGTCTTTTTACTCAAATTTGAAATCAAATAATAAATTGAGTACAGTGGGTGGCTTATCCATTTTTGTTCTAGATTATATGATTGGGATTTTTTTTAAAAGTAAACATAACTTACAATACAAATTGGCCCTTGCTTTTGCATATATCTTGTAGTGAGGGTGGGGCACTTTATTAGATACCTCATCAGAGTAACATACAAATATTGATATAAAAAACAAACCCAGGACATTTACTGTTTGCACATGCTGTTTGCACAGCATGTTGATCTATCATTTCCAGAGTTTTTTCCTGGAGCCTGAGGTGTCAGTTTCTGCCAGATGTAGTTAAATTGCTGTATTGGATACTGAAGAAAGATACAATCTCAATACCAGGGGAAAAGGAGTTTAGTCCTTGAAGTGGTCTATGCTATCAGAGTGGTTTATGAAAGGAAGCCAGATGTTGTGATTTACTTTCTTCTGTGGGCCCTTTGAGTGGAGGAGGGTTAGTCTGTCTTCCAGTAAGCTGAATAATGCCCCTGGCTACAAGCAGCTGGGAGTAACTGAATCTAACCTTTTTTGTGGGGTTTGGGGGAAAAGACATACACATAAACTTTGTAAACAGATAGGAGGGAGAATAGGTAGATCAAATTTTAGGCCTAAGAACCTTCAAATATCTCTTTAATCCCTTGAGTGCTGCCCAATATACCAGGTACAGTCCTGTGTATCAGCTATGTATCACCTTCTGAAGCTCTGACATATGGATGGAACATCTCATTCCAGGACACCAGGATGTAGCTGTGAGGGTGAAGGAAAGTATCCCATTTGGTAGAGATGTATGTGTGAGATGCTTGTAATTTAAATTTTGCTAATACTCTTGAATGCATGGTATCTAAATAAAGCGTCTCATTTCCAGGGGCGGCTCTATGTATTTTGCCGCCCCAAGCACGGCAGTTAGGCAGCCTTCGGCGGCATGCCTGTGGGAGGTCCGCCGGTCCCACACATTCGTCATACCTGCTGCCAAATTGCCGCCAAAACCGCGGGACTGGCAGACCTCCCGCAATGCCGCCGAAGGCCACCTGACTTCTACCCTCATGGCGACTTGCCGCCCCAGGCACGTACTTGATGCGCTGGTGCCTGGAGCCGCGCCTGCTCATTTCAGAGCCCCTCTCCATGTGGGTGTGATTTCCTATTGAGATTTGTAACGTTTTTGTTTTGATGTCTGTGGGGTTGGGGATACCTCAGTTTTAGTCCAGTTGAACAAAATTCATTGTCCCCACATACACGTTTTTAAGGTGGGGGGGAGGGAAGTGCCACTATTTTAAGTCAGGAAGGCTGTTAAACTAAGTTACAGGCAAAGCATCAGCCTTCGTCTTGAACCAGCCCACAGCAAGCCCGCTTGCTGGCATCCTTGTGAAATGTCTATAGAAATGTATTGTGTGTAATTAAAGCCTTGCACTTAGTCAAGCATGGATTTAAAGACCCAGTTTTCATATGAAACTTTGGCAGAGAAATGAAGGGGCTGTATTTGGGGTTAGAGTCAAGGGAGCTGTGGCAGATGGAGCAATAACCAAGCACCAACTTCAGGTGATTTTTGCCATCTAGTGGCTGAAACCTTTTTCTGTTAATCAGGCAACAGATGTCCTAGAGATTTCATTCCTTACAGTATTCTTAAGACTTTTAAAATATTCAGCACACTGTTGAAAGAAGTAAGTGTTTTCTGAAATATTTTGAAATGAGCACATTAAAAACATGAGCATTGCTTTTCCTGGGTACTTGCTCAGGAAGCAATCACCATATGTGTTTCTTTCCTAGATGAGCTTATACCTTGTGTGGAAATATGAAGATGCGGGATATGGAGTAGGGAAGACTTTCACTATAATTAATAATAATACCTGGCTCTTATATAGTGCTTGTCATCAAAGTGCTTTACAAAGGAATGAAGTGACTTGCCCACAGTCACCCAGCAGACCAATGGCTGAACCAGGAATAGAACCCAGGGCTCCTGAGTCCCACTCCAGTATTTTATACATTAGGCAACACTGCTTCCCCTTGTAGCTTTCTTGACTGGATAGACATTGCAGGGATTGATCACTTGAAAACTGACCCTGGTTTTCTTCCATCAGGGCCTGTTCTCTTTGCTGCCCCACCCCCTCAAGGGTGGCCCTTGTTTGGTGCCTAATTTCCCATGAACCAAATGCAGAGAAGAATTGGATCAGATTATAAATCTATTTTCAATGCAAAGTATCCATTGATCAGAAGTAGGATTTTGTACTGGGATGTGGGATGGTGATCCTTAAAACCAAGCTCT